AAAAAAAAAAAAAAAAAAAAAAAAAAAAAAAAAAAAAAAAAAAAAAAAAAAAAAAAAAAACCGGGGGGGGAGAGGAAGATTTAACAACCTCAACTTTTTTTTTTTTTGAAGCTCTTACAGAGAAAATGGAGGGGACACATCTGGGTGGGAGGGGGGAGAGGGAAGGAGGTTTTGGTGATGGGACACAATAACCAACTACATTGTGTATTGACAAAATAAAAAAATAAAAATAAAAATAAAAAAATACTTGGAACTGGGTGATTTGTTAGAAAATGAAATTTACTACTTGCAGATCCAAAGCTGGGGAGTCAAAAGTCCAGGGAACACAGCTGATGAAGAACTTGGTGGAGATGACAGTGACCCAGAGGTCTCACATGGCAGGAAATGTTAGGGCATAGAGAGGTCAACCTCTCATATGTTCTTTTAAAGCTCTCAGAACCACATCCCTGCCCACCACTATTAACACATTCATTATGGTATGGTCCGAAAATTTAATCACATCATTAATGCCCCATCTATCAACTACCATAATTGAATTACCCACCATCCTAACACTGTCAGTAAGGGGGTCAAGTTTGGGGGATACATTCAGTCTAAGGCAGGGAAATATCAAAATTTCAATGTTACCTGAAGAACAATATTGTGATTGTTGTATATTTCTTTTATTTAATTTTCAAGTCATTTATTTTCTTAGCTGTCATGTGTTAGTGAGAACATGCAAAATTTTTCTTTCTGTACCTGGCTTATACTACTTAACATAATTCTTTCTAAGTTCATCCATGTTGCTGTGAATGGTAATATTTCATGATTTTTAAAGGCAGAATAGTATTCCATTGTATAAATATAGCATATTTTCCTTATCCAGCCTTCTGATAATGGATTTTTAGATTGATTCCAACGCTTGCCTACTGTAAATAGAGCTGCAATAAACATGGGAGTACAGGTGTCCCTTCTTCATGATTATTTCCAATCCTTTCAATGTTTACCCAGCAGTGGGACTGCTGAGTCTGGCAGTTCAATCTGTAGTTGCTTGAGGAAAATCCAGATGGTTTTTGATGATGGCTGCACCAATTTACAGTCCCACCAACAGTACAGGAGGGTTCCTCTTTCTCTGCATTCTCACCAGCGTTTGTTATTCTCTGCCTTTTTGGTAGTAGCCAGTCTAACTGGAATGATATGACATTTCAATGTGGCTTTGATTTACACTTTCTGAATGCTGAGTGATGCTGAGCATTTTCTCCTGTATCTGTTGGCCATTTGTATATCTTCCTTTTGGAAATGCCTACACAGCTCCTTTGCCCATTTTTAAAATCAAACTATTCGTTATTCTACATTTAAGTTGTTTGAGTTACTTGTATATTCTGGATATTAATCCTTCATCAGATGCATAGTTTACAAATGATTTCTCCCACTTTGTAGGTTGTTCTTTTCCTCTGTTGTTTCTTGTGCTGTGCAGCAGCTTTTCAATTTGATATAATCCCATTTGGTTTTTCTTTTGTTGCCTATGTTGTGGGGATCATATTCATAAAGTCTTTGCCCAGTCTTTCTTTCAGAAGTGTTTCCACTATAATTTCTTTTAGAAATTTTATAGTTTCAAGTCTTATATTTAAGTTTTTAATCCATTCGTTCCAATCCAAGAGCATGGAATATCTTTCCACTTTTTGTTCTCTTCTTTCATTTCTTTCAACGGTGATTTGTAGATTCCATTCTGGAGATCTTTCACATCCTTTGTTGACTGTATTCCAAGATATTTTATTTTGGGGGTGACTACCGTAAATGGAATATAGCTGTCTTGACTTTTTTTCCTGCTACTTCAAAAACACTTGTGATTTTTGCATGTTGATGTATCCTGCTGCTTTACTGAAATTGTTTAATGAATCTAAGAGTTTCTTTGGAGACTTTTTAGGCTTTTCTGTATACAGGATAATTATGTCTGCAAACAGGGATAATTCTTCTCTTTTCTGCTTGAGATGCCCTTGCTTTTTTTTTCTTGCCTGATTCCTCTGGCTAGTACTTCCTATAGTATGTTAAATAACAGCTGAGGGTAGATATCCTTCTCTTGTTCCCATTCTTAAGGAAAAGCATTCAACTTCTCCCCATTGAGAATGACAATGACGTTAGGTTTGTCATATATGGCTTTTATCATGTTGAGATACTTTCCTTCTATACCTAATTTGCTGACACTCTTTACCATGAAGTGATGTTGAGTTTTGTCAAATGCTTCTTCAATGTCTGTTCAGATAATCATATAGTTTTTCTCCCTGATTTTGTTGATGGAGTGTATCACATTTATTGACTTGTGTATGTTGAATGATTCTTGCATCCCTGGGATGAATCCTACTTGATTGTGATGTCTAACTTTTTGTATATGTTGCTGTATTCTATTTGTGAATATTTTATCAATGGTTTTCCCATCAGTATTCATTACATATATAGGCCTATAGTTTTCTTTTTTGGTGGTGTCTTTATCTGCTTTTGGGATCAGGGTGATGTTTGCCTCAGAATGAGTT